TTTTGGTTTTTCTCCGGTACCGGGAACCGAACTCACGACCTTGCGCTTGCCAGGCAGGCGCTTTGCCGCTGAGCTAAATCCCCAGCCCCTCAAATACACTTTTGGTGGGACAGAAAACTGGCACAATACTTCTGCACAGAATCTGATAGTGTGCACAGCCTTAAAAAAATGTATGTCATTTGATCCAGAAATAATTCTTTTAGGGATCTATGTTAAGAAAATATGGGCCAGGCATAGTGGCACACACCTGTAATCCCAGCATCCTGGAGGTTGACGCAGGGGAACAACCAAACAAGGAGCAAGACAAGGAACAAGACAAGACAAGGATGTCCACTGTCACCACTCCTATTCAATACTGTTCTGGAAATATTAGCCAGATCAATTAGACAAGAGAGAGAAATAAAAGGAATAAGGATACAAAAGGAAGAAGTGGAAATTATCATTATTCACAGATGACATTATACTCTACATAGAAGACCTCAAAAACTAGTAGCATAGCTAGATACAAAATCGACACTCAAAAATCAATAGCATTCTTGTACACTAACAACAAACACACTGATAGAGAAATTAAGGAACCATATCTTTCACAATACCATATAAAAAAATGAAATACTTAGGAATCAATCTAACAAAGGAAGTAAAAGATCTATACAGTGAAAATTACAGTACAGTACTCTGAAAAGAGAGATCAAAGAGGATTTCAGAAAATGGAAATATTCCTTGCTCATGGATAGGAAGAACTAACATTGTGAAAATGGCAACACTCCCAAAATTGTACAGATTCAATGCAATCTCAATTAAAATGCCATTAGTATACCTCACAGATCTAGAGAAAACATTCCTGAAATTCATCTGGAACCAGAAGAGGCCTAGAATAACAAAAGCAATCCTGGGAAACAAAGGAAAGGCAGGAGGCATCACAATCCCTGACCTGAAATTATACTACAAAGCTACCATGATAAAATCAGCAAGGTATTGGGGGAAAAAAAAAAAAACAGACCTGAGGATCAGTGGAACAGATCAGAAGATGCAGACACAACTACAAACACTCAGCCACTTTATCTTTTTTGTTTTTAATTTTTTATTTATTTATTTTTTGGTCTTTTTAGACAGGGTCTTGATATGCAGTTTAGGCTGGCCTTGAGCTCAATTTGCAGCTGGTCTTGAACTTTCAATGATCCTCCTGCCTCAGCCTTTTGAGCGCAGGGGGTTCCAGGTATGCGCTACCACACCTAGCAAGCCACTTAATCTTTGACGAAGGGGTCAAACATGTTCACTGAGGAAAGATAGTCTCTTTCATAAATGGTGCTGGGAAAACTGGCTTGCCACATGCTGAAGACTAAAACTAGACCCATGTCTGTCACCATGCACTAAAGTCAAAATGGATCAAAGATCTAAATATTAAAGCAGAAACACTAAATCTACTGGAAGAGAAAGCAGGCAGAAATCTTGAAGACACGGGCAGAAGAGTTCATGAATAAAAACTAAACTGCACAGAAATACTTAAACAAATCAACAACTGGGATCTCATCTTACTGAAAAGTTTTTGCATATCAAAAGAAATCACCAACAGAGTAAAAACAAAACCCACGAAATGGGAAAAAAATTTAGCCAACAGTCCCTCAGACAAAGGACTTCTATCTAGAACATATAAAGAATTAAAAAAAAAAAAAAAAATCAAGCCTCCAAAATTCAAAGACCCAATACAAAAATGGGCATCTGAGATGAATACACACTTCTCAGATGAAGAAATACAAATGGCAAATAAATACATGAAAAAATGTTCAACATCATTGGTCACTCAAGAAATGCAAATTAAAACGCTACTGAGATTCCATCTCACCTCAGAAAGAATGGCTATCATAAAGTAGTCAACCAAAAACAAATGCTGGAGGGGCTTTTCAGCAGTGCTGAAACTGTTAGGACTTTGGCAACTCTTGCAGATGGACTAAATGCTATTTGTATAAAGGGATGTGCATGAGTTTTTGGGGGGCCGGGGTGGAACATTAAGATTTGTGTCTGCATGTCCCCCCAAATCCTCATGCAGTCATGGGGGCGGGCTTTTAGACTTATGATTGATCCGTAGTCCAATGCTGGAATTATGGGTGTAAGTGCTATACCTGCCCTGGGGCGGGTAGCGTAAAGTGCAAGGGATGGAAAGAGGCTGCTTGCTGCCATTACTCCCTTTTGCTCTTGTTGCTTTTGCTGTCTTCCACCATCATCAACGGTTGCCCTGTGCCATGTGCCACTCGGCCTTGGAGCCAGCCCACTATGGATTGAAATCTCTACGAACTGTGAGATAATTAAAACTTTCCTTCCTTAATTCTGGGGCTAGGTATTTTGCCTCTGCAACGAGAGAAAAGTAACCAAGACAGAGAACCCTTCTTCACTGCTGGTGGGAGTGTAGACAGGTGAAACCACTGTGGAAATCAGTGTGGAGATTCCTCACAAAACTAGGACTAGAAGTCCCACTTAATGCAGCTATTCATCTTCTGGGTATTTTTCCAGAAGAATTGAAAACATCACACCACAAGGATATATGTGCACCTATGTTTATAGCAATGCAATTTGTCACAGCTAAATCTTGGAAACAACCCAAATGCCCATCAACTGAGGAATGGTTAAAAAGATGTGGTATTTTTATACAATGGAGCATTACTCAGCTATAAAAAAAGATAAACTGGAGACTTTTAGAGGCAAATGGATGAAACGAGAGATCACACTCATAAGTGAAATAAATCAGACCCACATGTGTAAACATTGTTTTGTCTCCTTAGTGTAAGAACCTGAAAGAATAAATAAAACTCGAAAGGTACAACAGATATTGTGAAAGGGAAAGAAACTGCTCAAAGGGAAGGAACAACTGGGATAAGGGAAAGGAGAAAGGAAAGAAAAGTGGGGTCTAGGTGTGGTGGTACATGCCTGCAATCCCAGCACTTGGGAGGTTGAGGCAGGAGGATTGTTGTGAGTTTGAGGCCAGCCTGGGCTACCAACTGAGCTCAAGACCATTCTGAACTGCACAGCAATACCCTGTCTCAAAAAGACAAAAACAAAAACAAAAAAAAGGAAGGGAATACACACACACAAGGATAACTGGGATAATTGTACTGCTGATGTCTAAAATGGTTTATTGAAAGGAACAGTTAATGCTTAAATTCTTTTTTCTTGAGCAATTTTACATGTTTTTATCTGGTAATCGGAAGAATTTTTTTTTGTCTTTTTGAGACAGGGTCTCGCTATACAGTTCAGGTTGGCCTTAGGCTCACTTTGTAGCTCAGGCTCATCTCGAACTCGAAATGATCCTCCTGCTTTAGCCTCCCAAGTGCTGTGATTATAGATGTGTGCCACCACGCCTGGCTCCCTTTTTATTTTACGACATGGGTCTTGCTAAATTGCTCAGGCTGGGCTCAAACTCTCAGTGGTCCTCCTGCCTCAGCCTTCCAAATGCTAGGATTACAGGTGTGCTACCATGCTGGGCTGAACAACTAATCTGAAGACAACAATATGTAATATAAGAACCACTGTTGAATTCCTACCTTTTTGTTTAGTGAAGCTCTGTATTGTTTCTAATTTTTTTTATTCATTTTTTTCATTCATTAGTTGTTCATGCCGGGCTGAACAACTAATCTGAAGACAACAATATGTAATATAAGAACCACTGCTGAATTCCTACCATTTTGTTTAGTGAAGCTCTGTATCATTTCTAATTTTTTTTATTACTTTTTATTCTCTTTAATTGTTTGATCAATCTTGCATTCTTATATCTGGTAATCTGAGCAACTTCGCTGAAGATAGTATATAATATAACAACCACTGTTAATTCCTTTCATTTTCCTTTGAAATCCTGTATCGCCTTTATTATTTCTGTGTTTTGTTTTTGTCTCTGTTGTTATTTTGTTAATTTTTAAAATTCTCTTTAAAATTAAAAAAAAAAAAAAAAAAAAAAAAAGGAATGTCTCCTAGATTGGGGGTGCAGCTCAGTGGGAGAGCACCTGCCAAGTACAAATAAGGCCCTGGGGGCTCAACACACAGCACCGCCCAAGCATCCAAGACTACTCATACCTAATTTGGTCTCATTTGACATGCTTGATGGAATAAGGACGAAAGTTTTTCCTACTGTCAGTACAGAGAGATACAAAAATGAACATACAAATGAATGCCATAAATTTCTGTAAGAAAATATAAACAAGCAGAAAATGAATATTCCATTTCTTTAAGTCATGGTTAACAAGGAATCCGCCTATAGAAGTATCTATAATAAAATAATAATGATCATGTTAATGAACTCAATTTTAAGAATCCATATTTGATCTTGCCTCATTGGCAAAAATCAAGAATGGAAAGAAGAGTTAAAAAATAACCACAAATACATGTGAAAACTAAAAACAAAAACAAGAATTAGGATAATTAAAAATAAAATAAAAGGTATGGAAAAATGTCAAAGCACTCTGGAAAGTTCAGGCAGGAGAATCCTAAGTTTGAGCCCAGGCTGGACAACCTTAATGTAGCCCTCTCTCAAAATAAAAATAAAAAAGGGATCATTATTTACCTTAGTGCAAAAGTCCTAGATTCAGTCCTCAGTACTGCCAAGAAAAAAAGTAAAACATTTCCTTTAGGGCTGGGGACGTGACTCAGTGGTACAGCACTTGGTTAGCATTCATGAGATACTGGGATATATGCTTAGCACTGCAAAAAAAACCAAAAAACAAAAACACCAATATTAATTTTCTTTGGAAGACATAAAAATTAAAGAAAATTTAAGAAACCCAAAAAGAAAAAAAAAAATGAAACAGAAGACCATAACCAGTTACATACAGTGATCTATAATTCAAGTAAGAAAGCATTGATTCTTTATCCTGGGTAAGGTATAGTTAAAAAGAAATGCTAATTTATGAGATGTTGATACTTTTTCTCATGTTAAAACAACACAGCTGCCTACACAGACTTTGTGTACAAATGCTGATATTTGTTTTCATTACAAAATTTAAACTCAGGCCAGACATGGTGGAGCACGCCTGTAATCCCAGCACTTGGGAGGCTGAGGCAGGAGGATCACTGCAAGTTCTAGGCCAGCATGGGCTACAAAGTGAGTTCAAGGCCAGCCTAAACTGCATAGTGAAACTCTGTCTCAAAAACAAAAAGAGAAAAAAATTTAAATTTAAATTAAAGGGCAACAGAGGATCATTAAGTGGCCCATGAACAAGGTACTGCGTGAGAGTACAAGGAACCAGGACTCACAAGGGACTGTGGGGGCAGAGCAGCCACCAGAGGAGGCAGGGTCAGTGTCAGAGCAAACCTAATTAAAGACGAGGTATGAACACCAGAGCCAACTTTCCAAGCTGGAGGAAGCGCAGGGTGTGGAAAGGTAGAGAAGATGCTTGAGAGCATGTGCCAAGGGGAGGGCGTGGAGGGCAGGAAGCACTGGCAAAACCCAAACCGCTCCGAGTCTGAGGGAAAGCCAGGCATGCGGCAGAAGCTGCACTGGGCTCTGTGGATGGAATTACAGTATATCCTGCAAACCAAGCCTGCCCTGGTTTGAAAACAAAACAAAAACAAAAGACTCCACAGTACCTGTTGGAAAGAAACCAGGATGAGGCCTGAAACCCAGGTAAGAGGGTACAGCTCTGCACTAGGAAAAAACCTGTACAACTCCTCTCAGGCCGACTCAGAGGAGAAAGGACACTCACGAACACTGGGAACTGCCAGGGACAGGACTGGGAGACAATGTGGAGAAAAGAACAGCTACATCACAAGGACGCAGGCTTTCTGCCTTGGGGACCTGGGGGACAGTGGAGTTCTCTGTGACACGGGGTTCCCCAGAAACAGGAGCAGGCAGTGGCAAAGGCGAGCCACTAGCATGGCATGGGACCATGGTGTCCATGTAGCTGAGGGGCACCCAAGTAGCAATGTCCTATAGGGAGGATTCACCACATCATATCACATCACATCCCTTCACCCAAAACCCCAACCGGCTCCCCAACGACACCACAGGGTCACCAGCTGCACTGCAGGACCTGCCAGGAGGTCTTAACACCCTTCCTGAGGTCAGAACACTAAGCGACGAGCCAAGTATGGCTGGCAACTGCCAAGCACACAGCCTGGCTTGGGCCTTTAGAGTCAGAGTACCCACTGCTGGGACTTAGATATAAAATAGCCCTTACATGATGTGTGTGTGTGTGTGTGTGTGTGTGTGGAAGGTGAGTGGATCACAGGGTGCTGTGCAGCCAGCTGACTTACTGTTAGGAGGCAGCGCTCCTTAGGCCTCCTCCTTGCTCTGCTTCCCCACCACCAAGCGGTGAGTAGCTCTTCCCCTAGGCAGGTCCCCACCCCCAGGCCATTTCTGCATTTGAGCCAGCAGACCAGAGACTAAAACTTTGAAAATGTGAGCCAAGTGCCGACAATGGTGCAGTTCCTACTACCTACTGCCCCTGGGCCACAGAAAGGAGCCGGCTGACTCCTGAGGAGCAAGAGATTTTAAACAGAAAACGATCAAAGAAAATTCCAAAGAAGTATAATGAAAGGAAAAAGAACACCAAAATCAGCAGTCAGCAGTCTTCTGGAGGAGCAGTTTCCACAGGGCAAGCTTCTCGCCTGCACTGCATCAAGACCAGGCCAGTGTGGCCAAGCAGACGGCTATGTGCTAGAGGGCAAGGAGCTGGAGTTCTATCTAAGGAAAATCAAGGCCCAGGAAGGGAAATAAACCTTCCCTCCTGGCTCAGCTCATGTCATAAAGGTGTTTATTCTATGTTAAAAACACAAAAAAAAAGAAAAAAGAAACTGTGAGCCAAGCCAGGGATATAGCTCAGCTGCATAAGCGCCTGCCTGGCAAGCACAAGGTCCTGAGGTTGATTCCCGGTACCAGAGAGAGAAAAAAAAAAGAAAGACAATGTAAGCTAAAATAAACCTCTGCTCTTAAATTGTGGGTGTTGGATATTTTGTTCCAGTAATAAGAAAGTGATTAAGGCAACTACCCTAGCTCTATGCCAAAAAAAAAAAAAAAAAAAAAAGGACCTCACCCCAACTTGGAGTGAGATTTTGTCATCTACTAAGTGGATTTACCCTCTCCAATCCTTAGCTTGTGCGTTAAAACTGAGAGACAATGTGGACAAAGGTCTGTAATAACTTCTCATCTGCATTTACCCTCTCCAATCCTTAGCTTGTGTGTTAAAACTGAGAGACAATGTGGACAAAGGTCTGTAATAACTTCTCATCTGCTGGCCACTAGTATTTATCATGGATAGTTTACACACACTCTGCTGCTGAGCCTGGGGGAGAAATAAAAAAGCACTTTTTACGTGTCTTGTTTTCTAGGCTAATGGTTAAACATGGTTGTCTCCAAAAATCATTTAATTTTAAGAGATGCTCAAAACATTGGCAAAGCCAGGTGTGGTGGCACATTCTTGTAATCCCAGCACTTGGGACGCAGAGGTAGGAGGATCGCCATGAGTTCCAGTCTTGGCTACATAGTGAGTTCAAGGTCAGCCCAAACTATATAGCAATACCCTGACTCAAAAACAAACAAGCAAAACCACTGCCAGTAATACCAAATAAACAGGTCTTTAGGCTTGTAGTTTTTTTCTTGATATTTGTAGACATTTGTCTTATTTCTTTTCTTGACATCTAACTGTAAAAACAAAATTAACTATTCTCTTTTGTATTTCAAATAAAACTGTACTTCTCACTTAAATTAATGCTAGTTTTACCACACAAATTATTAAATTTTATTTTTAGCACTACTGATTATAAATTACCTAAAATCTGTTTCATTCATTTCAATCTTGTGGGCCTAGAAACTGAGAACGTATTTTCTAGAATAGCTGTGCAAACTTCCGAATTTGGAGGAAAATGCAAATGTCAGTGTCATTTTCATAAGCAGGAACTATTAGGAAAATAGAGAATAAAATAAAATATACTTTTTTTTTTTTTTTTTGGCTTTTTTCCTGTACCAGGAATCGAACTCGACCTCGCGCTTGCCAGGCAGGTGCTATGCTGCTGAGCTAAATCCCCCATCCCAAAATATACTTTTTAAACTGTGGAAAAGTGATCTTGTGAACCTGGAAGAGATGCAGAAGAATTCATCCAAAAAGACTGAACCTTTACTGTATCAAGACTGGAGGCCCAAGATCAGTTCTGTATTTAGGAAAATCCAAAAAGCCAAGCTTTCAACCTTGAGGATATGAAATTACTTTAATAAAAACGAGGATCTTTATTTTTTCCAAAAGAAATGTTATGCTACACACACACATACACACACAAAATCCATAATAGTAACAGTATCTTAATTGTCAAATAATCTCTACAAGAAGAGGACTTGATCCACTAACTTCCATGAGCTTAAAGTCCTGCACACTTCTTTGGACGATATCCTAAAATAATGTTTTTTGTTTCCCTTCATACTTCAAATGAGCCAAATGAGAGCAGAAATATTACAATTTTTTTTTTTTTCTTTTTGAGACAGGGTCTTGCTATGCAGTTCAGGACGGCCTTAAGCTCACTTTGTAGACCAGGCTGTTCTCGAATTTGCAGAGATCCTCCTGCCTCAGCCTCCTGAGTGCTGGGATTACAGGCTTACACCACCACAACGGGCCTCAACATCTTAAAACCACATCGACAACCACTTAACATTATTTCCTCCAAAATGAACATGTGAAAGCGCTGCATTAGTCTTAATCCTACTTCATAATCCTCCATACCTTCCAATTTCTAAACGAGTCCTCCATGCCCTGCAAACCGGAGGCATCTCTAGCTGTCACAATCAAGACACCCTTGCTTTAGGGCAGAGCACCCGCTACATCCTAACAGGCAAACACTGCTCAGTCTATCAGAATCACTTATTCCGCAAATAGGTATTGAGTGCGTCCAGTGTGGGGCACTGCTCCAGGTATCAGAGTAATATAGGAAACATCCCACCTCATGGCCCTTACATCCTATTTGTGGATCTATTCGGTAACAGAAGAAACCTAGAGCGTGCAAGCCACGAAGAAATAAAGCAGAGCAAGAAGGCTCTAACTAAGAGGGCTGGGTCTCTGCTAGAGCTTCTTTAAGGAGGCAACTTTGAGCAAGGACTTGAAGAAACAGACACGAGAAGATGATGTGTGTTAGGAGAGACCAGGGGTCCCACACGGCGTGTGTAAAGGACCCGCGGCAGGAACAAACTCAAACAATGGTAAAGCCGTTTCTCTCCTTGGGATCAAAAGCCGAGTTTCACTACTGCCTGTACGGCCCCAGCCTCTATCAAGACACATTCGAAAGGACTCGTTAAATCAATCAATTCAGGCTGTTGGCTATTTTCCTAAAGGTTGAACACGATGTCTATCCACCTCTTTTCAATACTGGCGCATAATCTGATTTTAGGCAGATCCTTCAACAGTCATCAGTTCCCAAATGGGGTATACTATGTCATAGATGAGTGCAGATTTGAAAAATAAAAACCACCTCAGTAATCCTGTACTTTTCGAGTGAAACAAGTGGCCTGACAACGGCACCAAAAATTGGGAAGGCTGAACTCCCTCCCCGCCCTCCTTGTGCAGGGCACCCCCACCTGGGCAACGAAGGCGACGCCTACAGCCCTCGGTGCGGGGAAGCGGTACGGACACGAAGCTGGGGGCTGGGGAAACACCCCCGGTCCCCAACACCCCCAGGCCGCTCCCACCCGGCGCTCTCCCCATCCCCAGCTCCTGCCGCTCCTCCGCCCCGCGGACCCCCGGGGGACCAGGGCGCAGAGGGCCGGCGCGACCCGGGGCCGAGCCAGCACGTGGGCGGGACCCGCGGACGCACCGCCTGCATCGCGGGGCAGGCAGGCCGGGGGTCCTTCCCCGGAGGGAGCGGGGTGGAGGGCTCGTCTCGGGCAGGGGGAAGCGGAGGAGCAGCGGGAAGAGGCCCGCGGGCTGACGGCGCCCCCTGACGGACGGCCGGGGCGGGAGCCGGGGCCACGAGCCGAGGCTGAGGCCTCCCGGGAGGGCCGGGCCGGGCCGGGCCGGGAGGGAAGGCCGCGCACTTACCAGGAGCTTGAAAGCGCGAGGGCCGGGTGGCCAGGAGGCCGGCGCCGCGCCCGGAGTACAAGAGGGCGGCCCAGGCCAAAGCCACGCGGAGCAGACGGCGGCGAGGGCCCGCGGGCATAGGCGACACGGCCGGCTCCCGCCCTGCGACCCCGAGGACTCGCAGCTGCCGGGCTCGCACACGTGCTGCGCAGCGAC